CCTGATCCACCCAGATTTACACACTAATCTGCTATGGAAACACCACAGAGTCACACACAAAATCATATTTTACTAGGTTTCTAGATACTCTTAACCCAGTTGACAAAATAAAGTCCACAAGTTGAACCTTTGTCAACCTTGCCACCATACTCATCTCCATAAATCACACAATTTCCAAATAAAGACAGTAACAAGGTAGTAGTTTAATCTAACATGATGCAACTATCCTGCATACAACTGACAACGCACTAATCTCTTACCTAGGATTTAACATTCAGGGTTTCAACATTTGGGATTTTAATCTTTTGAGATTTAAGACACTAGGAATTTTAAACTTTGGGAATTTTTATCTATAGGGACTTTTAAAAATCTTTTGTGATTTCAGGATTATGGTGTTTAGGATTGTATCCTTTAGGTTTATCATCGGCACTGGGTTCTAACCCAGGTCAATTGACTCACAGAAATATCTTCAAGTACATTATCCTCTTCACCCATAAATTTATAGTCTCATTTATTTTCTACTTACTTTTTTTTTTTTTTTTTTTAAGAGAGAGATTGAGTCTCACTCTGTCGCCCAGGCTGGAGCGCAGTGGCATGATCTGGACTCACTGCAACCTCTGCCTCCTGGGTGCAAGTGATTTTCCTGCCTTAACCTCCTGAGTAGCAGGACTACAGGCGCGGGCCAGCACGGCCAGCTAATTTTTGTAATTTTAGTGGAGGAGGGGTTTCACCATGTTAGTCAGGCTGGTCTTGAACTCCTGACCTTGTGATCCACCCGCCTTGGCCCCCCAAAGTGCTGGGATTACAGACGTGAGCCACCGCATCTGGCCGAAGAGATCTTAATGACACAGAAATAAACTATTTTCTGAATCTCAAACTTCTGAAATATCTTTAAAAAAAAAAAAAAACAATTTGAGCAGTAACATTAAAACCACCAGTATTAACATTTCAACTAATACATAATAATTGCAACATTAATTTGGTTACTTGAAGTATATCCCTGGTAAAAGCAGAAAAGGGAGAAAAGGTAAAAATAATGTTGTTACAGTGACAAAATATCAGTTTTAAAGTTTTGAACAACAAAGCAGAATTTGCTGACCTAAAATGATTATCAATAAGAAATAATAATAAACAAATCAGTTAATGTTATTATACATAAATGATATTGCTCTTCTAAAAACCACAGTGTAGCTGCAATGTAGAGGAAAGCGCTCCACAGCTAAAAGTCAGATGTGGGAATTGTTTTACAAACTTTGCCAATGTGTGATGTATGATATTGAATAAACCTGGTAACCTGGCTGAACACAAATTATCTAAGTCATAAAATGAATTCATCCTCATCATGATTTCTAATGACTCTTCTATGATTTCTAATCAATATTTGAAAATTTGTCTCCTATTTAAAATCAGTGTTAGCAAAAAAAGTTAAAACTACACAATAGATAAAATCTGCACAGAGTTCTTCCTTCAGAAGATTATTGTACAAAGTAATATCTGTAAAAATATACTATGATATTCTATGACCTTATTAATTATTAATACACCAGATAGAGGTGGAAGGATCTTTACTTAAGACTATGGTAAAATTAAATGGTTTCCTGTAGAGAAAATAAATTGGACTGAGATTTAATCTTTCTTTAAGAAAGTTGGGAAAAATGGTCTCGTCTTGTGTGTACAAGATTCAAGTTACTTGTAAAATTAATATAGATATGGAAAAGGGGAAAAAAGAGGGAATAGAACTTTCTCCATAGTCAGTTTGAACCAAGCCATCTAACTTGATTGTCTTTTGAAAATTTATATGAATATTTATAAAACTGTTTTCTTTGAAGTTTATACAAACTCCCTACAAACCATTCAGTCTGTCTTTAACTCAGCCCTGCCTGCTACATTCTCTTTAATTGCATGCTATTCTTTTATTAGGGCAGTTGGCTCTGCCTTCTGTGTTCTCCGAATCATTCCTGGAGAGTTTCCAGATCATTCCACTCTGCCCTTCCCGAATCTGAGCCTTGCTATTGCAGTTGTTCTCCTCTTTGTGTTGGCACATGCTGCCCTTTATTTTGGGAGCTGAGGGCATGCTTATTTCTTCTTTGCCTTTCAGGGATTTCTTGTCACAAAGAACTCCTTTACCAACATTGAAAGAACTTAAAAAAAAAAAAAAAAAAAAAATTCCCCTTGCTAAAGATCCACTACACATTTCTTATGTACCTTGACTTCTAAATAGTTTGGCAAGTTGTGGGAGAATTATAACCCCAAAAAGTTAAGATTCAATTTGAGAATCAATAATTAATTTTTTTTTTTATTATATGTAACTTTTTTTTTTAATGACAGTGAGGGGATCAAGGACAGTACATTTCTTTGTTTCATAGATATTCATGAAAACTTAAAATACACCGGGCAGATAAGAATGAAACAGTACAGAGTGAGGGAACTGACATTTCTTCTCTATAATTTAAAAAATCAATAATATTATTTTTATTCATGTCTATATGCACATATCAAATAATTTTAGTGATATAATCTTAGATGTTTGATGTATATTTTTTCCTAGAAGCAGAGAGATTCACTATCATTATATTGACTGTCATCTTGCCTTATGACTCTGAGAATAGTTTATTTTTATTTTTTAAATATACTTTATGCCACAAGATTTGCATAGATCAGTTTATATTTTAAAAAGTTATGTCTGCATTGAAGTACTTATGTGAGGCTTATTATGGCCGAGGCAATCTATGCAGTGCTTAACCGCCTAACAACTCTATAAGGTAGCTATTATTACAGATGCAGAAGCTAAATGTTACAGAGTTTGAATAACTTAACCAAAAAAGTGATAACATTAAAAAAGTGGCACAACTAGTCATGAAGAAGTCTAAGCTGTTAATCACTTCACAGCATCACCTCTCATGACCACACAAATACACACAGCTAAATACATATGCGGGTGTCCATTATTTATCATTACAGTTAAAGTTATTATATGCAGAAATATGCATACACTATCAAGATATAATTGGGGGTCAGGCGCCCTGGCTCATGCCTATAATCCCAGCACTTTGGTAGACTAATGCAGGGACATTAGGAGGTCAAGGGATGGAGACTATCCTGACCAACATGTTGAAACCCGATCTCTACTAAAAATACATTAATTAGCTGGATATGGTGGTGCATGCCTGTAGTCCCAGCTACTCAGGAGGCTGAGGCAGGAGAATCGCTTGAACCTGGCAGGCGAGATTGCAGTGAGCCGAGATCGCGCACCACTGTACTCCAGCGTAGCGACAGAGTCAGACTCCGTCTAAAAAAAAAAAAAAAAAAAAAAAAAAAAAGATATAATTGGGACTGCAAAATAGAAAATAGATGCACACATTTTTCAGTGGCAACTTTTAAAACCCAGAGATCCTTCACACACAATGTCTTCCATGTGTGAGTATCTTTGTGTGTGTGTGTGTGTGTGTGATTACTTAGGAACTTATAAACATTAGTGATACTTTTGGCAAGTTTACTCTTAATGAAATAGAAAAACATGATGCTTCTTTACGGGTACATAGGCTCATGTTTCTCTAGCCTTCAATAACTAAATTAATATCATCGATCACTTTTTCTACAATTCCTACATCTCAACCATTCTGAGATTTACAGGGCCTTGGTTAACAGTTAAATCCAGAATTAGACAGTTTTCTTAAAGACTGATGAGCACTCATACAGGTTCATTATGTTTACTACATAAGGAAATTAAATCACACTGTACTGAACAGCAATTTACTGTAACAATGTATTTTGTTTTTTGGTATTTGACATATTATGCCTTTTATAAATAAGATTGTATTTTTTAAAATCTTAAGATTTACCTTACTTCATCTTGCTTTTAAAGAGCACAGCACAGTACCTTATGCATAGTATAGCCAACTTTCAATAAAGTTTAGTGAATAAATGTATAAACACCAACATAAAAATTATGCTTAAGACAATGTAGTAAAAATACATGAATTAAATGTAGTTTTATGTTAATAACTATGGTAGTTATCAGAATTGAATTAGAGTCTATGTAGGACCAGAATATTCCTATGATTTCATAAGGAAATGAAGATCTAGTCAAGAATATTCCTACTTAGATTTGGCTGTGTTTGTCTCCTGGCAGAATGGACAAACAATAGACAAATAAAAAAGAATTATATATACGGAAGATAAAAGTCTAAGGTATGTTTTGTATGACCATCTGATTATAAGCTCAGACATGGTGAACAAAGGAAAATATTTGTTATAGAATATCAATTAATAAAAAACAATGGCATCTCAAAGACAGCATTTTGCTACCACTGTAGAACAATTTTTTCATGCAAGATTGTTCAATGGATGACAAAACAAGATATTTACATAGTTCCAAAATATCTTCATGTAGTATAATTACTATTTACTGAGGAAAAAAATGGGAATATCATTGAAATCTGGGGGCCACAACAATGACCATGTGTTTTATGTTAATATTAATAAGCATAGGACAAACTGGTGTCTTGTATCCCTTGATATAATTCACTGAAAAGGATATAATATGAATTCTGTGTCATTCTTGTGAAAAATAAAGTTTACTCTAAATATAAGGAAATGTCAGATAGTAGACAAGCAACTGGACTAAATTCTCCAAAAATTGCAATGGATAAGACAAGTAAATAATTATTTTATACTAAGAGAGACTAAATAAATGTTAATAATAATATTTATAATTAGATCCAGGGTCAAGCAGAAATTTCTGTAATGCTATACAGAATGAATTTGAGGTCATTGAAGTAAGAATTAACTATATATTAAATAATGTCAGTGTATAAATATTAATGTTATTATAGTTATGCTGAGTTACTTAGGGAGATACGGCCCTGATGTCCAGAACTAAATCTCAAATAGTTTGGGAATAAATAATATATTCATAAATGTCAAAAATGTGTCAGGGTTAAGGATATTAACCTGAGTTAAAGATATTCACTTTGCTTTCATGCTAACTCCTTTTTCAGCTTGTAACTGTTTCAAAATAAGAGACATTTATGTTGACAAATGAAGAGAACCTCATATACAACATTCAAAAGGGATGAAAGTAAATACGTAAGTAGAGAAGCCCGTAGTTTTCCATGTTTTTCTAATTTGCAATGATATCAAACACAAAAAATGTAGGAATCTAGAATTTTACTTTCTAAATCATGACACCGCGTGACTAACCTTCAGAACAAGGAGTTTCACTGTAATGACATTAAATGACATACTGTCATCTGTGTAGTCTACACAGAAAGGGCACTCAATCAAGTCTGAAAAGGAATAATCACCATAAAATTATTATAAAGTACATATTGCAATAACTAACACCAGGAACTATGAGAAAATGCCATTAAAATCATCACTATTTTTCTCCATATTTTAGAGTAATTTCTCATAATTTTTCTTTTTTTTGTAAATATTAGTAAATCTGCAGGATAATTATATTAACACAAACACCCTAAAACTGAATTGCAAATATCATGTAGGTCATTTGCTAAGTGACTGATAAATGTCAGTGTGCTTATTATATAACTCTAATTGATATACTACAATGTAATATATCTACACATATATATTTTTTCATTAGTATTGTTTTAACTTTATTCAAGTTGATATGACAAACAAGTGTTATTTCTATGAACTATTCTGTTGATAAATATTATCATTATGCTTGTTAACCTTAAAGTCTCCAAGCTGAAAAAAAAAAAAAAAAAACTGAAAATTAAATCAAAACTATTAAAGGTTAAATACTGATGAAAAAGAAATGGTTAAATACTGATGAAGAAAATGTGTGTACATGCATATATTAAAATATTCAACTATATCAAACTATAGATGAAAAATTATTTCTTAGTAATAAAAGTTAACGGAAAATTATCTACTATAAAGTAATTTATCTTTTGTTCAATATGTATAGGACCATACTTTGTTTGGAAAGAGCTAACCCTTACATTAGAGTATGTGGTCCTATACATCTGTATTTAGCTGAACATATTTGAGTGTCTGAGGATTTCTCTTCTACATTCTACTTTAAATACATTTATCCCCATTCCTTTCTCTCAACTGTTAATTTTTTTTTTATATTTCAATAAGAAAATATAGGCAATCATAAGAGAAGTTTCATATATCAATAAACCTGAAGCTGTGTTCATATAGTCCTTGTATGTACTTATACCGCAGAGATGGACTATTTTCCCACCTAAAGTCAGAGCCTCCAATTATAAACTAAATCCATTTTCCTTGTGTCTGAGAACATTGCTCCAGAAATTACTGCCCTCTTTTCTGTGTTACTTTTTAAATTTTTACTGTAGTATTAATATCAACTTATTAATGAAACTTCTCTTTATTCCATATTTTCTTCCAGCTAGGTACTCAATTTTATTTTTCTGTTTATAAATAACTCACTGCAAATTTTATCAAGAATTCTTGTTCAATTTCCTCTACACTTATTTCCTTTTGGCCTCATTTTTACATTTCTTTTTTATGCCCAATTATTTCTTTAAAATCATTAATAGTTAGGACGGATGTGGTTGCTCATGCCTGTAATCCCAGCACTTCTGGAGGCCGAGGTGGGTGACTCACCTGAGGTCAGGAGTTTGAGACCAGCCTGGCCAATATGGTGAAACCCCGTCTCTACTAAAAGTACAAAAATTAGCCGGGCATGGTGGCACATGCCTGCAATTCCAGCTACTTGGGAGGCTGAGACAGGAGAATCCCCTGAACCTGGGAGACAGAGGTTGCAGTGAGCCAAGATGAAGCCACTACACTCCAGCCTGGGTGACAAGAGTGAAACTCTGTCTCAAAAACAAACAAACAAAAAATCATTAATAATCATTCTTGAAAATAAAATTCTATATTCTAAATTTTCAATTTTTGAACCAGACTGTAGCATTTAACCCAGTCAGTTACACTGCCCTAAACATTTTCATCAGTTGGCCTCTGGGAATGTCTCCCCTGGTTCTTTCTTTTATTACTTGCCTATTCTCATCAGAAATGTTTTCTAGAATTCTTCCTGAACCCTTAAATGCTGCTGCTTTTCCTGCTGAGTAGTCCAAAAAAATCTTGTTTTCCCTATCCACAAACAATGTCTAAATAATATTTTCCTGTTTTATAGCTTTTCCTTTATTCAACAAATACTTATGTAGCATCTATTATGTGACCAGCAGTATGATGAGTGGAAGAGATAGATCAATTAACAAAATGAATAAACATCCTGCCCTCTGCAGTGTTCATTCTATTAAACGCAGAGATATACAATAGGTAGAAAACTGTATTGTGTATTAGAAGGTGATGATTACTAAAGAGAAAAATCAATTCATTGTGATTTGAAATAGAGTTGACATGGAAGACCTTGAGGGGCAGATAGTATTTGAGTAAAGAAATGGAGTAGGGAACAATGGATTCTTAGGAAGTCACATGACTTTAAATATGGCTTCTGTATGGGGAAACAAATTCCAATTTTATTGGTCTAGCTTTGGCCTGTAAACTGCAGGCCTATGTCTAGCTATCTACTTACACCTCACGTGGATAACTAATTTAAGAAGTGTCTCAAGCAAAACAGGTCTAAGAATAAAAAAAAAAAAAAACACTTCATTTTCTTCCAACAATATTCTTCCCAACAGCCATTTATATCTTAATTCTTAAATGTAAAACATTCTAGTAAATGACTATTATTGTAGTTTTTTCTGTATAAAATTCTTGTAGTCAATCTTACCTATTCCCTTTTTCATCCACTCCATAACCAAGCTATGTAAATGCTATTGGCTTTTACACTTACATATGTAAATGCTATTGGTTTTACATTTAAAATATCTGTAGTCTGAGCATTTTATAACCTCCACAGAACCCACTCTGACCCAAGACACCACTGTCTCTCATTTGAATATGGCAATAATGTTCAAACTGCCATCCCTGCTCTAATCTTACTCCCTGAAAGCCAATTTTTACAGAAACCAAATTGCTCTTATCACCCTGAGAAGTAAGCACCAAGATTATATTATACACTACAGAATCTTCTCTTACTAGAGCTCCAATCCTCTCATGTCTCTTCCCACTGTTCTCAATCGTTCTACTCCATCACTCTGGCCTAGCTGTTTCTAGAATACACCAAGCTTCTCCTCTCAGGTTTGCACTTTGTTTTCACCCTTCTTGGAGGGCAGTTACACCGATTTTTGAAAGGTTACACCTTTTTTTCAGGTCTCTGTTAAATATAACATATAGAAACAATTCTTTTGTGAGGAGCGGCCAGCAGTAGCCCGAGTGAAATGAGTCAGTCCAGTTCCCACCCATGAAGAAGGGTCAAGGTCAAGGGAACAATTGTGTGTCATCTCTCCTTCCACAGGTAAAAGAAGACACATAGGGGACTAATCAGTCTCTCTCAGCATATCCCCACAATTCTGTCTTTATTCTTTTTTATTTATTTTTAGCACATACCACCATTTGACACGTTGAATATGCCTTTGTTTGCTTGTTTGTTTTGTTATCCCCACTCCCAGTGGAAGATGAGCTTTACAGAGTAGGGATTAGTCTATTTTGCTGTTGTATCTACAACACCAAAAATAACTGTCTGGCATGTGATAGGTATGTGAGAAATATTTATTGAATGTTTTTGAATGAATTAAGTATGAAGCAAAGCAGACAGTTTACATGTGCTGCAGTTCATTGTAGCTGAAAATAGTCTAAGATTTAGTTGTTGAAAATATCAGAATCAAAAAGGACAAAAAGACACAGTTACATATCTATTCTTTATATCAAGAAAAGCTCTCTAGACCAGAAACTATTCCTGTCATACCTCTGATCATGTTCTCAAGAGTTTCCTAAGATTTTTCGTTGTTGATCCTTCAGATTTAGAGAAGAACATAGAAGTACTAATATTTTTTGGCTGTCAATCTGAACCGATATCTTGAATTATTAATAAAATGAGTGAGAAAGAACATGAATACAGAAGATGATGGTTTTCAGAACAGAGACAAACAGCAACTAGCTAGTGCATTTAGCAACTGTTTACACTTTTTAAAACTTATCTTTCACAATTCTAAAAAATGGCTTATAGTAATAATAAAATAGTTTCTTCAGTCACATTATGCATATATAATACAATGCATTATGTCTTACAGTCTCCCTCATTTTTCATTAACCCACATCATAATTATATAGGAATACTTTCATCAAATTTCTGGGTTTTTTTTTTTTTTTTTTTTTTTTTTTGTTGAGACAGAGTCTCGCTCTGCCGCCCAGGCTGGAGTGCAGTGGCCGGATCTCAGCTCACTGCAAGCTCCGCCTCCCGGGTTCACGCCATTCTCCTACCTCAGCCTCCCGAGTAGCTGGGACTACAGGCGCCTGCCACCTCGCCCGGCTGGTTTTTTGTATTTTTTAGTAGAGACGGGGTTTCACCATGTCAGCCAGGATGGTCTCGATCTCCTGACCTCGTGATCCGCCCGTCTCGGCCTCCCAAAGTGCTGGGATTACAGGCTTGAGCCACCGCGCCCGGCCCCAAATTTCTAAATATTTATCTTTCTCTCTAATTAAAATCAACCTTCATTACTCTTAAGTATTTCATATGGAACATTGACATAAAAACACAGAATTCATATAAAAAGGAAAGTAAATATACTATTAGATGTAATAATTTACACAGGATATGAAGCTCTTTCCCTAACACTAAAAAATAATCTTATATTTTTTAGATGTCAATATTATATGTTTAGAGTTCGAAACTAATAATAATGGCTGGTTCAGAAGACTGAGATGGGGAGTTTTCACTTTAATATTGCTTTCCGTTAGGTACTCAGCTTATACTGGTTTTATGATATATACTGATATTATGTTACATAAAGTGGTTTTACATCAGTAAAATAACATATTCATCACACATGCATGCTCAAAATCACATATTGGTGTTACACTACTTTTCAGTTCAACTTCATAACGTTTATCTAATTTTTAAGATGAATTTTTAGATAACTAAAGTATTTAATGGTCATTTATATTACTTTTCAAAAATGTATCAATTATGTATCTAAAGAGAATCCAGGAAAAGATACTTTGAAGTCGTAGGATCTTGCTCTTCT